TCCCATAATTTTAAAGTATGACACATCAACTTAATTCCTCTATAATTTGCACACTCTTGTGCATCCCCTTTATTCTTAAAAATGGGGATCAAAATACTCTTCCTCCACTCCTCAGGCATCTTTTTAGTTTTTAAAATAATATTAAAGAGTTTAGTAAGCCAAGAAATTCTCAAATCTCTCAAATATTTCCACACTTCAATTGGGATATCATCAGGTCCTACAGACTTTCCACCCTTGGTTTTCTTTAAAGCCTCCTCAACTTCTTTAGGGATCTTGTTGTCAGCTTGGAACACAGAAAAAGTTGCCACAAGTACTTAAATGCCTTTAAGCTAATTTGATTCAAACATTTTGACAAGTTTTAATTGGCTTATTATCTAATTTTATTTTTAAGACTCAAATATATTCATTCTTATATGGCTAAATCACAACTAAAACTTATAAATAGGAGGTCAATGAATGAGCATATTCTAACACATCTTAATTGACTTGTTTCATATCAGCTTGTGTTTTTTGACAGAAATCTAATAAAATTCTTCGACTTTGTCCGTCTGTCTCTCTCTTAGTCTTGATCTACTATTGCTAGTAGTTTTCTTGACATTAATGGACATATTTAGATCTAGAAGTGTGAGCTTATATATTGTAATGCTTGAGATTCTTTCAAATAATTTTGTAGCATGAAGATATTTTGGGTTTATTGTTCAAAGTGATGGAGATATAGATAGAAATGTTATTAATAAAATTCAAATTGGTTGGTTCAAGTGGAGGAATGCATCGAGCCTATTGTATGATAGAAAAGTACTGCTTAAACTTAGAGAAAAATTTTATAAGATGGTGGTGAGACCTGCAATGCTCCTGCAATGCTTTATGGTGCATGGTGCAGAATGTTGGCCTTTTAAAAGAGAAGCATAAAACTAAGTTAAGTTTTACTGAAATGAGAATGCTTAGATAGATGAGTAGCTTGACATCTAGAGACAAAATGCGAAACGAATACATCTCTAAAAGGGTTGGTGTAGCTCCAGTGACAAACAATATGGGAGATAGTCATATTTAGATGGTTCAGTCACATTAAACGTCAACCATCTAATGTTTTGGTTAGAAGAGTAGATGTTTTAGATTCTACTTATGTTAAGAAAGATAGAGGTAGACCTAAAAAGACTTGGGCATATTGTATAAAAAATGATCTTAATTTATTAAAATTAAATGAAAATATGACACTCAATAGGACAGTGGAGAAAAAAAAATTCATGTAGCCAACCCCACTTTGTAGCATAAATGCTTGTTGTTGTTGTTATTGTTGTTTTCGTTGTTGTTGAAGCTCCTATCATTATCTAAAGGATATTTCTGTAGCAATAACTAACTCATCATATATTTTCATGTATTCATTATTTGGTGCTTTGTCGCGCATAAACATTAACTTTTTTATGGCTTCTTTGAATCAAAGAACTGGGGATAGAATTTCTATCCATTATTAGTTTTGTTGTTTATATATTTAATTCCACTGAATCAAAAAATGTTTGCTGAATTGTTGCAGGGAATTGCTAGGAGGCTTGTCAAGGCTGCTATGTTCAAGCTGCAAAGAAGAGGGAGATGAGATACTCTGATCTCATGAAAATTGGCAGTGAGGTCCGTCGTTACTTTCATGATGATATAACGGTAACCGTTCTGTTCCTCGACTCCAATCTCGCAAGCAGTGCAAGCTCAAAGAAATGCTCAGCAGTTTCTTTAAGAGGAGGAAGCATCCACACAAATTCTCCGGCGCCATTAAAGCGGCCCGGTCGCTCCCGTTAAGCAAATGATAGTTTTTTTTTTCATGGAGAAAAGTGTCAAAATAGTCCTCTGACTCTTTGCAGTAGGTTATTTTAGTCCCAAAGTTCCTCAGACTCTTCTAATATGAGCTGAAAAGTCTCCACAGAGGACTATTTCAGCTTCAATTTAAAGAGTAGGGACTAATTTTTAGGACTTAAATTGCTCGAAATAGTCAGGAGACTATTTTGACACTACTCTTTTTTTATGTGTAAATTTGAGCTCAGAGATGATGCCTGAATATGTTGTACATTAGTTAGAAACAAAGTGAAGAATCCTAATGTTCTGGGTTGCGTTCGAGTGCTAACTATCATTAGGGGCAATTTGTTTCGCCATAATTATGTTGAACGAATTGAAATATTTTCTATTTAGAAGTGACTTAAAAGTGTTTGTTTGATTAGAAAGTGAATGGAATTTAGTTTTTGTTTTGGAAACTCACCTTTATGGAATTTAGTAAGTTAATTTTAATTTTATTTTCTTGTGCTTTTGATAACAATAGAATCATAGTAAAGTGAGAGATTGATCACTTAGAAGATTAGTTTTACTTATAATAATTATAGGGGCATTTACATACATACCAACTAATTCTTATGTATTTACACATCTAATACCTAACATATTTATTCTTCATTTTTTCCAGTCGAATCTTACATATCATATAAAAAAATATCACTTTTTAACTTTTTTTCTTAAATGATGGATCTTTTCATGCGTGGATAAGGTGATATATATGAAAAAAATGAAATTTAGGTGTTTGATATGCTAACATAGGAATTAATAGATAACTATATAAACCTTCCATAATTATAAAAAGGTTTATTTCATTTTAAAAAGTTAGTGATCGTAGTATTTTTGATGTACTATTAAAATTTTTTGGACTCGATGTAAATATGAAAGCGTAGGTGTTAGATATGTCATAAAAATGGTGGCATGTATATAAATGAGGTTGATGAAAGTGAAACTACTGCTGTTCAAAGAAAATAAGAATTAAATTAACATGAAATGAGTATGCAAAATGAACTAATTTCATTATAATTCACTTTAATTAAAGGTTGGTATGAAGCAAATTTTCTGCAATGGAGCTAAACAACACTTAAAAAATGCAATTAATCTGAAAAATATGTATAATAAGGGCTGTTTGGCATCACTTTTATTTTTTAAAATATTATTATTGTTATTATGATTTTTTTTTATGTTTTAATTTGAAGTAAAATATAATTTGTATGTATGATTAAATTATGATTATTTTTTAAAATACTAAGAACACCCAAAAATTCCGAGTATTTTTAAAAATAAGTTTCTAAATTATTAGTGGAATTTGAACTTAGAGTTAGCGAACTAAAAAATAAAATAAAATAAAATAAAATAATAAAATAAATAAAATAAATAAAATAAAATAATAAAATAAAATAAATAGCCATTAGTGGAATTTGAACTTAGAGTTAACGAAATAAAAAATAAAAAAACTAGCGAGTTTTTAAATTAAAAAATACCAACTCCTTGAAACTTTTTAAAAACAATTTTAAATAAAATTAATAACATAAAAATATAACTAATATTAAATTATTATTAAATATTTATGTTTAAAGGGTAAAATTTGTAGTGTATTATATGATATTGAAGGTTTACTACAAACGTAGGGATGACAAAAGTCTCGCCCAGATATGATTTAGTTCTAAACACACATGCAATAATTTGTCTAATTAATGACAAAACTTTCATAGTCTGAAATCTAATTTAATCTTTAAAATCACCAAAAAAAAAAAAAAAACAAAGGGGGTTGAGTTTAAACCCGTAATTAATCCCCAATTTATGGACACACCACACATTTTTTTTTGTTTTTGGCTTTTCTAACAACTAAATTTTCATCTTTACATGCATAAGAGTAATATCACATTAAAAATATCACTCTTATTAATTAAAAAAAAAGGAAATACATCTTTTCATGTAGGGGTGTAAACGAGCCGATCACGAGGAAAAATTATTCCATCCGTGCAACGCATGGAAGCCTGCATGCGGTAGCCAATTAGAAAATGTCACGTGGAATCTGGCCTCATTATTATTATTTAGGTTAAAAACTCTATTATATTAAGCCCGACCCAGCCTGAATCCCGCCCAAGCACAAAAAAAAGCACACTTTTGTCATTTTCGCTTCCCACCAATTGGAAAAAAAGTTGTATTTTGTCTCCTTTAGGTATAGGGATTCGGGATATTATCATTTCGTTGTATTTTTAGGATTCATTCGTATTCAGTGGACCTGATTCGATGGAAGTATTTCTTGACGAGGAAATGTTGCTGGAAACTCAAAATACTTGCGAGAAACATAACAATGAGCTGGAATCTCAAAATATTCTCAAGAAACATGAGAATGAGCTGAGTTTAGATGCGACAGAAGGAATTCGACAGGTAAGTTATACTTGTTTGATTGCAGATTTAGGTTTTAAGGAATATTTGTTTTGTTAATGAAGTTTGCTCTGTTTTTATTTGACGTGTAACGCTAAGTTTCGGTTAAGGTGGGACGTGATGTTATTTAGATAATATCATTGTGTTATACTAGTTGTTTTTTGAATTGTTTTTCATTTCTGATTGTTCTTCATAGTTTTAGTGGGTTAAATAACTGTCATAATTAAGTGTTGTTCTCGTCGTCGTGATGGGGTTGATGGGTAGCTATTCTCGTCGTCGTAAAGGTGTCAAAGTGTTACAATATCATTTGCTTGTAACGTTACTGTCGTGGAGATTTGTTGTTATTTTGATAGTATCATAGTGTTATTAAGGTAATATTAGACCTGCTGACTTGGTTTTGTTTTGGTGTATTATGTTGACGTTTAATGGTGTTATGCTTGTGTTATTGTGGTGTTATGCAGGTGTTTTTTGCCTGTAAGGTCCCCTATATGGTGGGGTGGTAATGTGGTGTTATTTTGGTATTATCATGGTGTTATCCTAGTGTTATTTGATCTAATTAGACGTTTTATCGGACTCTTATATTGACGTTATAATTGTGTTATCAGGGTGTTATTGTGGTTTTATCACGGTGGTATGTGTCTAGTATAGGCTTTTAACGATGATGCTAGTAACATTTCTTAACGGGATTTGATTGACCTGTTACATTGGCATTGCAATGACGTTATTTGGGTTATATTATGGTATTATGATGGTGTGATTTATGTATTGTAGTCTTGTATTGATTTCATTCTGGGGTGCTAATGCTGATGTTTAAATTTACAGTCACCCGAGACAGAGAAATTGTTTCATGCAGTTGTCCACAATGAGAAGGAAGCCTCTGAACGATATTGTGTATATGCACACCATATTGAATTTACTGTGCGAAAAGACCACAGTGGTTTCTGACCGAATTCAAAGAAGATTAAGACAAAAGACTTTGTTTGTGGTAAGGTTGGTTTCAAGAAAGAGTTGAAGGACACAATCACAATGATGTTCAAAAGAGCGAACACAAGGATTGGTTGTCCAGCCATGATTTGATATGTTGTTGATTTAGAAGGCATCTTGTCGGTTAAGAAATTCATAGAAAGTTACAATCATCCGTTGGCGGAGGACAGTGACAAACATCTATTACGTTCCAGCAGAAAGATGTGTGACATCAGTGCTGATATCCTCAAATCAATGACAAAATCATGGATTAGAACCAGCGATGCATTCAAATTCCTCACTACTGAGGTCGGAGGAGTGGAGAATCTTGATTGCACGAAGAGGGATGTGGAAGAGGGATGTGCACGAAGAGGGATGTGTATAATTTCATACAAAGAGAGATAAGAGTTCAAATTGAACTAGGGGATGTTAATTCTCTCATATAATTGTTCACTGCGCGGCAAGCAGAGGATCCAATGTTTGCGTGGAACTTCCAAATTGATGAGTCGGGTTGTTTGGTGAATTTTTTATGGTGCGATGGGATGTTCAAGATTGATTATGACTATTTTGGGGATGTAATAATATTTGATACAAGTTATAGATTGAATAAATACAATTTATGTTGTGTTCCGATTGTCAGTATAAATCACCACTGGCAGAATGTTCTCTTTGGTGTTGATTTTTTGTCAGATGAAACGATTGAATCATTCAAGTGGTTATTCAAAACTTTTATCCATATAACAGATAACAAGCATCCAATAACAATATTATAACAATATTCACTGATCACTGATCAGGATCAAGCAATGTCTAAAGTCATTGAAGAGTGTCTTCCGCACACTAGACATAGATTATGTCAATGACACGTTTATAAGAAATTATTTTCAAAAGTTCATTGTGGCGTGGGTAGCAAGAGAGTCAATGATCTTTTTTATAAATGATTGAGCGGATGTGACTCAGAAGAGGAGCTCGAAGAAAATTGGGGTGAAATGATTGAGAGAGGAAACATACACGAGAATGTTTGGTTGGATGAATTGTATAATATCATACATAAGTGGTCAACCGCCTTCAATAAATAAATTTTTGAAATGAGAATCCTATCAATGCAAAGAAATGAGTCCACTAATAAGATTTGTCATGACGTCTCTAAGGCAACAAACACCCTCACTGAATGTTTTTGGGTCTTGAAAATGTCATGAAATCTTAAAGAAGAAATGAGAAGGATGAAGATTTTAAATGTCAGCAGTCTGCAATTTCTCCCACTGTAAAAGTAGTCCCGTGTTGAGGCAGGTTGCAATACTTTACACAAGAAAGTTATATTCAATGTTTGAAGCACAACTTCTACATGGTTTGTGTGGGCTTGCTGTGGAGTGCTCCGCTAATATGGATTCAAAATTTCATATTTGAACTCTCGAATATAAGGACAGAGACAGACCCTGGATCGTTAAACTGGACATAGGTAATTCTGATATTACCTGTAGTTGTAAAAAAATTGAAATGATGGGCTTATTATGTGTTCACGCTCAAAGGGTTCTTCAGCATAAAAATGTAACAGAAATCCTTGATAAATATATATTACTTCGGTGGTCTATTAATGCTAAAAGGGACATATATAACAACTATGGTTATGCACATCGTAAGGGGTCAGAAATGTTGTCAAATTCTGTAAGTGGACTCATCTATTTCAATCACATTCATAAATTTGCATACCAGATCGGCACCAGAACGCGAGGTCATGAACTTGTCAAGAAGCTTGTGTTGGAGGCATTTAATAAACTACCAATCGATGTCGAAGCCACACTGAGTGGACAAGAACCTCAGGAAAATTCAAAATTAAAGAAGAAGAAGGCACCGAGTAAAGAGCGAAATGCGAATGAACCCACGAAGATGTGCCCAAAAAGAATATCTAATTCAAGACTAAAAGGCTAATGGGAAAAAAACAAGAGAACCAAAAGTAAATGTTACCGATAATCTTAAGTGCTGCTTTGATTCATTGAAACATTACTCGCTAACATGTAATATTGTATACATGAAATG